TTCGAGTTATTCGAATCAAGAGTTAACGCGTCCAATCGCTAGCATGTGTTTTATTTATGGTAATTGCTGTTGAAGTTGGTAAACTATCTATTTTAGTGTGAGAACACCAAAGTATTGTTAATGTTTTTGGTAATGTTGGTAAACTATCTATTTTAGTTTTATGACACCAAAGTATTGTTAATGTTTTTGGTAATGTTGGTAGGATAGTTATTGAAGTATCAGAGCAATCGAGTTCAATTAAAGAGTTGGGTAAAGTTGGTAAGCTATCTATTTCAGTGTTATAACACCTAAGTATTGTTAATGTTTTTGGTAATGTTGGTAGGATATTTATTGAAGTATAAGAGCAATTGAGTTCAATTAAGGAGTTGGGTAAAGTTGGTAAGCTCTTTATTTTAATTCCAGAACAATCAAGTTTTGTTAATTTTCGATATCTTTGTAATCCTCCTAAGGCGTTAAATATGTCATCCTTATTAATTTCTGTAATCATTAAACTTTCAATAGTATCATCATAAATAATTATTCTCATCTGATCTAATGAATCAACATTAGAACGAAGTTGTTGTTTTGCTGGTGATTGAAGTTTTAATTCTTTATTATTCATTTTATCATTTTTAATTATTGCATTTAATTTATCAACTACTTTTTTCATGGACGGACGATTGTTTGGGTCATTATCCCAGCATTCTGAAATAATAGGAAATGTTAATGATCGATAAACATTGTAATGAAAGTTATGATAATTAATCACCTGTATAAATGTTTGCATATTCTTCAGGTGTATCAGGAACGATCTTTTCTCTAAGTCCTTGTGAAATTGCTATAGCTAAACCAATGTCATATTCTTCATCCTTAACATAAAAAGGTTGAAGACCACTTGATATCTCCCAAAAGAGCACTCCGACACTGTATACATCACTCTTTTCATTAAGTTTATATTTTTGCAATGTATTTTCATTTGTTCGATTATTAAATGTTTTTGGATCAGTATAAGGAATTGCTCCAAAAATATTGGACTGATTAGTTTCCGCCTCAATTCTTCTCGATAACCCAAAATCTGCTAGCTTAATAACACCTTGACGAATTAATATATTTCCAGAATGCTATTTTAAATATATACATAAAATTCATTATTAATATTTAACAGTGATAATAAACAATAGATTATACAGTATTATGCAAGGTTACCAAATCACGATGCACAATTCCTTCTTCATGTAAACACGACACAGCACAAGCCAACTGAAATGCAAAGTTGTATTTATCTTCCCAAGTAAACTTATCAAAGTTGTCCTTCAAATAGTTATTAAGTGCACCGCCATCAGCATATTCCATCACTAATAAATACTTCTTCAATTGATCATTTTGATTTTCTAATTTTTTTTTTTAATTTTAAAAAAAATATAAACAAATTTAAAAATGAGATAATATAGAAAAATTCGATATATAAACTTTTATTATGAAGATTTACCTTGAATTGAAGTTATCCCATAAATGCTGATAATATTATCATGAAAATCAACTTCACGTTGAAGTTCAAGCTATATTATTACAAATATAAATTTTAACTTGATACATTAATGATTTTATAATTAACAAACGAAATACATAATAAAATTTTACATTGTAATTACCTCACGAACGAGTTCTTTCATGGTGGTATTGCTAAAGTTACGAAACGATTTTAAAGCGAGACATTGCTTTGAATCTTTCCAATTTGCACGATAGACTTTTCCAAAACTGCCAGTACCAATTTTTTGAACATTGCTAAAATGGTTGTAATCATAGTATTTAATAAGTTTTTTTGCGATAGATTCTTCAATCCAATTAACCCACTCATTTGAATTCTTGGAAGCTTGCACTTGCATTTTGATTTGTATATAGCGAAATAAATTAATTATGATAAAAGCAAAAAAAAAAAAAGAAAAAAAAAAAAGATGCTCGCGGTAAATCATGTAACGTTAATCAAGCCACTGGTAATACGTACAACAATGCATTCGATGATGACCTGTATTAAATTTTTTTTGTTTATTACGTTCACAATTTTTTTTAATAAAAATTAACAAATAAAATACCAAAAAAAAATGCAATAAAATATTAAAAGAAAAATTCGCAAATTCGCGGATATTAATAAAATCAAATTGATTCCGTATTGCATAGTTTTAATGTCCTGGACTTCAATTTTATAAAATTACATTGTACTAATACTCATTAAATTTATCCTTTTGTTCGTAAAGCTAAATTAGCTCACCATCATCATGTATAAATAAAATATCTTATGGTAATTTTTTTTTAGCTTCAAACATCTCAAATCCGAACCTTTTCGCCCAGTGAACTTTCAGTTTCGCCGAAACATTAATTCAACCTTTTGATCGTTTATCTCTAATCAATCTTACATCAACCTGAAAATACCGGTATACTGCGTTACAAAATTACTTTTCATGCATAATCAACAGATAAAAGATAAACATGCGTCATTTTTGCACAGCATTTTTTAATTAAAGTTAACTTTTCTAATTAAATCAATGCGATGTGCGGACTTTTTTTTATAACTCGCATAATGAAAGTGTTTATTACTTAAATAGAACACGCACGTTGAATTCAGACTAACTTAATGATCAATAATCTTGATAATCATTTACAGTTCTAACTTTGTTATGTAATGATGCATCAATGAAAGAAAAATAAGGATATTTTTTTTTGTGTCTGCATAACATATACTGTACATGACATAACCGGCAATGAAAAAAAAGATGTCACGAAACGCGAAAACATATAAATTTAACAAAATTATTTTTGTAACGAAGAAATACAAAATATTTGACTTCTTTACAAATATGAAATTATTTAAAATAATGTTCCAGGAATTTTTGGACCTTCATATTAAATTTTAAACGTCAAATAAAATCCCTTTAAATAAAGATGATTTTAAATTCATCTCAAGTAATTCGTAAAGACATTCAAAAATCTTAAAACTTCTTGACAAATTAGTTAACATTTATTTATGATAGTTTAAAGCAATCAATTTTTCATATACCATCTTTATTATGCAGAACAATAAATCTTCCATGTAATTGCATTATTAATTCAAATTGCATAATATCAAATTATGATTTATAGTTTAATTTTTTTTATCTATATTTGATATGTAAGAATGCATAAAATAATGGCCAATTTCAAATTATTAATAACACCCAACTTTATTAATCTTTTCTTTTACATGTCTTTTTATAAATTCTGAATAAAAGACAAAGAAAGTGGAATGTACAATGTATAAATATAGAATTTTATAAGATAAATTTTTTTCATTTCTTTCCATCATTTCCAACAATATATATGATGCTCCAAATTTTAAAATTTAAAGATCTTGTGAATTTATGAGTCCTCAAATGCTTCAAGGTCATGTGACAACTTCCCAAGCCGATAAAGGCACAAAAGAATTAATACTTTGTTTCTTGTTCTATTATAAATTTAGAATAATTTTTTTTTGCAATAAATATGATAGAATATACTAGTTACTACATAAAGAAAATTTTATCATGTTGACATCGAAGAAGAAACAAAATTGATGAATAGATTAGATAAAGTATTAAAAAAAATCTCTGAACAATTTAACACAAATTACGAGCTAATGATTTTAAAAAGACTGTGCAAAATAACAATGTATAATCGTTCAAGAAATCCAATAAGCCAGAGTTTAATAAATTAATATGAGCAACCTTTTGCATCTTTAAGCCAATAACGTACTTTATTGACCCACTAAATTCGCTAATATGCTTTCTGAAACTTTCTAGAATTTTTCATTCCTCCATCAAAAAATCGTTCCAATTCGTTAAATTTTTTGCCGCCGTTTTTTCCTTAAAGATATTCCACAACTTTCTATAGATCTATTATAAGACCAATCAATTACTATCGATCTTAACCATCTTACTGAGTATCTTACGATTAGCCACGATAATTTTTTCCCCTTCCCAAACCAAAAAAGATGTCATACTTTATTATTGTCCGTTAATACTACTATAGAATTAATATGGTTGTCCTCCAAAAAATTCCCTAACGAATCCCAAGAATTACACAATTAATTATCCTCAGGAAGCAAACAAGACTTGTTCTACTTAACTAAAGCCCGCATACATTTGTTACTGCCTCAACCGTCGCTCTGTGATAGTTCTTTAGAAAAGAGCAATTTTTCCTTCCTAGGGCTTTGTTACAGATTCCTTAAAAATATCAATTAATAGATAGGCAAATTTATTAAATCCGATGTCGTCATTATCAGTTTCTGCCAGAGATCGACAATTAATTTCGACGCAGTCAAAGTTCGGATTCACATGATAATGTATGGTTGCGCAAAAATGATCAGTAAAAATTGGTTGGTTAACATATCATGACCAAACTAAATAATGTAGGCTACGGCAGCGTTTTCGGCGGCACAATCATTTTGCTCACTTTATCGTATAGGTATCCGAAGTTCTCTGACTTTCATTAAATCTCGATCCAATCCTCCATTCACTCACAATTTTATAAGAGAGAGTATTATATTGATGATTTCTCTGGAAGTGCATAAGATTAATCTTTACATATTTCCATTCTCGATAAAGCCTCACTCAATACAATGAAAAGACGCAGGAATAACAGCAACATTAAAAATTAAACTTATGAAGAATAAAATCAAAACCTCATTGTATAGTATTAAATACAATTGTGAATTGGTTTTATAAATGATAATATTAAAAATAAAAATTTGACGAAATTATGATTTATATATAATATGACTTTTAAAGAAGAGAATTGAAGGAATTTTCAAATTCAGTAACAATTTATTTTTATGTAAAAAAGGTATTATTATAATCCTTGGTTTATTGATTATGTGACGAATTTATTTAAAGTTAATGCTGTTAAAACATTGATAATAATTAAATGACAGCGTCACGTCATATACTTTTTTCACAATTCCTTGTCAGTGGTAATGAAATATCGAAGACAGAACCATACTTAGTAAGATCCATCCATTATCATGGATTTTCTACGAATAAATTAAAAATGATAGAAAATTGAGTTCTTTAATAAACACATAAATAATTATAAGTACAGTATATAATGGTAAAAAGACTCACTAATATTTCAAGTATATTTAATCCATACTTTACTGCTCCTTGTGCAATTGCAATCATAGGTTTAGAACTGAAACATATATTCTATATTGAAATTATTTTTTAATCCTATTTTGAAAATAATGTTATTCACTACAACTTTCAAGTAAAAACATAGCAGAACATTTTTCACAAGTTTAGTATGAATTAATCGTATAATATTTTCGATAAATAGGTCAAAAATAGATCTCATGTAATTCCGCTTCTTCCAACCATTCTTTATTATCAGTAATACATAGATATATCGAAGGAGCAGTTTTTTCAAGATCTAATTCATAAATATTAAAGTCTTTGGCTTCTCCCGTAAAAGCATTTTTAAGTTGTTGAGAACATATATTACATCTGTCCACATTCTCTTGACCTTTCGTTTGTTAATTTAATAGTAAATTTTTAGATGATGTAAAAGAAAGCTCTGTGTTGATTAAAAACTCTAAATCATTCAGTGAATCATGTGTTCCGATTACACATGGGTTTTACAAGGATATCTAGAATCTTGACGCATTAAGTGTAAGCATGGGTATGAAGCTTACCAAAATTATAGTTCATTCCTCACGGAATCCAATATTCGTTAGACGCCCTCCGATTTAGAAAAAAAAACCTAATTTTAATAAAATTAAAAACGTTTTTTTGTTGATTAGAGGATCTCGAAACTCTAAATCGATCAGTGACGCATGTATTCCGATTACACATGGGTATTAATTCAAGGACGTCTAGAATCTTACCATTGATGCATTGAGTGTAAGCATGGATATGAAGTTTACCTAATTGATAGTTTGTTCCTAACTGAAATCCAGTCCAAATAAATGATTCCCTTCCGATATTGGAGAAAAACCTAAATTTTAGTAAAACTAAAAGAAAAGTTTTTGTTGATTAGAGAAATGTGAAACTCTAAATCGATCAGTGACGCATGTGTTCCGATTACACATGGGTATTAATCCAAGGATGTCTAGAATCTCCAAGAACAATTGACGCATTGAGTGTAAGCATGGGTATGAACTTACTTTATGATCCAGGTATTACGGCTACTGCAGAAAATTTAGAAATTTTCTTTTTTTTAAGATTTCAATATTATTGTTGTAATTGACGTTTATGTAAAAAACTTGCAGGTTTTTTTTTGTCTAGTCCAAGTGTAAATAAACAACGCGATAAATTATTAGTTGGTTCTATAGATTTTTTTTTATGGATTTATGTGCTAAAACAAAATGGTTGTAAAAGAGAGGAGAGCTAGTTTTTTTTAGATAAATAATAAAGAATGTAAAAGGAAGCGAATTTTTTATTTATTTTTGGAAAAAAGGTTGTGAAAAGAGAGCGAGTTTTATTATTTTTTTATTTTAGAAAATATATACAGTGCTGTGAAAAGGCCAAATTGAAACTTTTTTCATAAATTTATTCCTAAGTAAATTAGATGCTTTTATCGTTTGATCCAGTACTTCAATTATTTTAATAAAAAGTTTTTATAATTTGGTCCCTTTTCACAGCACTCACCCCATAAATATTTTTTATTAGGAAAGTATACACAGATTTATAAAATAATAATTATATTAAATGAGCTTCTATACTGTTTAAGGAATATTAACTTCGAGTTTTTTATTGAACTGCAGTTAATAGTCTGCTCATACAAAATATTGCCTTATTTGAAACTTATGGATGAGATTCCGCTTTTTTTGGTTGGAAAAGGCAAACTGTTCAAGGCTTGCCTGGTACTTCAAGTCGTACATGTTTACATATTTTGTAGTTACACGAAAGTGAATTCGATCTTACCAATTTCTTTATTACATCGGATAATATTATTGGCCAATGACGTATATGCAGAAATATTAAAAATATAACAAGTAAGGGCAATGACATTTATTAGGTAATTTTTTAGGGGGTGGGGGGGGGGGTAGGCAAAAGTCTTAGGTTACACATATTAAATAGATCACGTGATCGATAACTGTGGCTTAGCAAATTTATTAGACGCAAATTTATTAGAACGCAAATTTATTAGGCATACATTTGGAACACA